CTACGGGAACTAACAGAAGATATCAGCAAAGTTTCACGATACGAGATAAACATACAAAAATCAGTTGGATTCCTTCACACCAACAAAGAGAACCTCGAAGAGGAAATTATGAAATCAATACCATTCACAATAGCCCCCAAGAAGATAAAATACTTAGGAATAAATCTAACCAGAGAAGTAAAAGACCTATACAATGAAAACTATAAGACACTACTGCAAGAAACCAAAAGAGACCTGCATAAGCAGAAAAACATACCTTGCTCATGGATAGGAAGACTCAACATTGTGAAAATGTCAGTTCTACCCAAAGTAATCTATAGATACAATGCAATCTGGATCCAAATTCCAATGGCATTTTTTAATGAGATGGAGAAACAAATCCAACTTCATATGGAAAGGGAAGAGGCCCCAAATAAGTAAAGCGTTACTCAAGAAGAAGAACAAAGTGGGAGGCTTCACACTACCTGATTTTAGAACCTATTATAGCACCATGATAGTCAAAACAGCCTGGTACTGGTACAACAACAGATACATAGACCAATGGAACAGAATTGAGAATCCAGACATGAATTCATCCACCTATGAGCAGCTGATATTTGACAAAGGCCCAAAATCCATTAATTGGGGAAAAGACAGTCTCTCTAACAAATGGTGCTGGCATAACTGGATATCTATCTGCAAAAAACTGAAACAAGACCCATACTTCACACCATGTACAAAAACTCACTCAAAATGGATCAATGACTTAAATATAAAATCAAAAATGATAAGGATCATGGAAGAAAAAATAGGTTCAATGCTAGGAGCCCTAATACATGGCATAAACACAATACAAACCATATGTAAAAATGCACAAGCACCAGAAGAGAGACTAGATAACTGGGAGCTCCTAAAAATCAAACACTTATGCTCATCAAAAGACTTCACCAAAAGAATAAAAAGACAACCTACAGACTCAGAAAAAAATTTTGGCTATGACAAATCTGATCAGTGTCTAATCTCTAAAATCTAAAAGATACTGCAAAACCTCAACAACAACAAGACAAATAACCCAATTAAAAAATGGGCAAAGGATATGAATAGGCACTTCGCCAAAGAAGATATTCAGGCAGCTAACAGACACATGAAGAAATGCTCATGATCACTAGCCATTAGAGAAATGCAGATCAAAACTACAATGAGATATCATCTAATCCCAGCAAGGCTAGCATTAATTCAAAAAACACAAAATAATAAATGCTGGAGATGTTGTGGAGAGACTGGAACCCTTATACACTGTTGGTGGGAATGTAAAATGGTACAACCACTTTGGAAATCGATTACCATACAATCCAGCTATCCCACTCCTTGGAATATATCCTAGAGAAATAAGAGCCGTCACACGAATAGATATACGCACACCCATGTTCATTGCAGCACTGTTCACAATAGCAAAAAGATGTAAACAACCTAGGTGCCTATCAGTGGACGAATGGATAAACAAATTATGGTATATCCATACTATGGAATACTATGCAACAATAAAGAACAATGATGAAGCCATGAAACTCTTATAACTTGGAGGAATCTGGAGGGCATTGTGCTGAGTGAATTTAGTCAGTCACAGAAGGACAAATATTATAAGAAGACCACTATTATAAGAACTCAAGAAAAGGTTTAAACACAGAAGACAACATTCTTTGATGGTTATGAGGGTGGGGAGGGAGGGTGAGGATTATTCACTAACTAGATAGTGGACAAGTATTATCTTAGGTGAAGGGAAGGACAGCACACACTACAGAGGAAGTCAGCACAACTGGACTAAATCAAAGCTAAGAAGTTTCCTGAATACAATCAAACACTTTGAGGGACAGAGTAGCAAGGGTAGGGATCTGGGGACCAGATCGGTGTGTGGTGTCTGGGGTCTGAGAAGCTTGCAAACAGCCATCTAAGATGCATCAATTGGTCCCAACTTACCTGGAGTAAAGGAGAATGAAGAACACCAAAGACACAGGGAAGTATTAGCCCAAGAGACAGAAAGGGCCACATAAACCAGAGACTTCATTAGCCTGAGACCAGAAGAACTAGATGGTGCCCAGCTACCATCAATGACCACCTTGACAGGGAACAAAACAGAGAGTCCCTGATGGAGCAGGAGAAAGGTGGGGTGCAGAACTCAAATTCTAGTGAGAAGACCAAATTTAACGGTCTGACTGAGACTGGAGGAACCCTGGAAAGCATGGCCCCCGGATTCTCTATCAGCCCAGAACTAAAATAATTTCCGAGGCCAACTCTTCAGACAGGGACTGGACTGGACAGTGGGATATAAAGTGATACTCGTGAGGAGTGTGTGCCTCTTAGGGAAAGTAGATACAAGAGACTAAACGGGCAGCTTCTATCCGGAGGTGAGATGGGAAGGCAGAAAGGGTTAGGGGTTGGTTGAATGGACATGGGGAATCAGGGGTGGAAAGGAGGAGTGTGCTGTCACAGTATGGGGAGAGCAATTAGGGTCACATAACAATGTATGTATAAATTTTTGTATGGGAGACTAACTTGAAATGTAAACTTCATTTAAACTACAACAATAAAAAATAAAAATAATAACCATGTTAACCATTTGCACCACCCAGGGACTCTATGGATTATTAATACTAGATTAGGGTGGATTCTAATCTAATTACTGATGTCCTTCTAAGAAGACAGAAATTTGGACACAGAGACAGAGATAACACTGGGGAGAAGGCCTTGTGAGGATGGAGGCAGAGATCCAAGAGATCTGTCCATAAGCCAAGGAATGCCAAGGATTGCTGTCAACCACCAGAAACTGAACAAGACAAAGAAGGATTCTTCCCTAAAGCCTTCAGAGAGAGCACAGTCTGCTGACACCTTGATATCAGACTGCTAGCCTCCAGAACTGTGAGAGAAGAAATTTCTGTTGTTTTAATCCACCCAGTCTGTGGTCCTTTCTTACGGCAGCCTTAGAAAAATAATTATCAGCCTTGAGGAAGTACAGCCAGAATATGCCTTAGAAGCAAGAACGGCAATACTTTGGACAACTCATCAGGAGGGACCGATTGCTAGAGAAAGACATCTTGCTTGGTAAAGCAGAGGGTCAGCGAAATACAGGAAGACCCTCAACAAGATGGATTGACACAGTGGCTGCAACAATGGACTCAAACACAGCAACAATTGTGAGGGTGGCACAGGACATAAGGTACATAACGTCGCTATGAGTCAGGGACAACCCAACAGCAACTAACAACTACAACAGGAAACTAATACACCCACCACTGCTGCCCTGGTCCCAGCTCCCATCATTGCCTAATTGGGCAGCTGCAGTAGCTTCTACTCTACTCTCTCTGTCTCTGGCCCTACCTCTCCCTGTCCTTCCTGCACACTGCTGCTAGAGTGATCGTTCCAAAGCACAAGTATGAGAGGGTCTTCTACTGCCTTCAGCATAAAGACTGAGCTCCGGCCTGGCTTATGAAGCCCTGCCCAGGCCAGACCCCATCTAAGTGGACCCTCCATCCTATTTACTACTCTGCTGCTCTTCTTATCATGTACATAATTTATGCTACGCCACTAACTGCTCCAAATACATGCCAAGCTGTCTTTTGCCTCTTGCCTTTGCACATCATGTGCTCTCTGTCCAAAATGCTGTTCCCTGCCTTGATCACCTGGTGAAATTCTAACCACTCTTTGAGACTGAAGCAGACAATATTGGGTGATTGATCCTACAGCCTTTTTCTCCCTTGCTACCTTTCCACCATAGAGGTTGGAAAACAAACTATCCACTTCCATAGCCTCCCTTGCAGCTAGGTGTGCCCAAGTGACATGGCTCTGGCCGATGAGTCTTAAGGAGAATTCTGCTGGATCATATGTGATAGGTTTTGCTTTCCTGATTAAAGGCAGAGACATTGCCTGACACCATTCCTTCTCTTCTTCTGACCTTGAACCCAGAAGTGATGCCTGGTGCCATCTTCCAACCAGGTGGCAACAAGCCAACCACACCAAGGATGGCAGAGTGCAAAGATGAGCAGTGCCTGGACCCTAGATGATGTGGTTCTGCTGCCAAGCCAACCCAGAGCAGCCTATCTCCAGAATTCTTTTGAAATAATTAATTGTCTTTAAGACTTAAGACACTATGGGTGGTGCAAACAGTTTGCCAACCTACCAACCAAAAGGTTGGCAGTTTGAATCCATCCAGTGGTGTCACAGAAGAAAGACCTGGTGATCTAATTTTGTAAGATCACAGCCATTGAAAACTCTATGGAGCAGTTCAACTCTGAAATAGGTGGTGTCATCATGAGTTGGAATCAACTCAGTGGCAATGGGTTTGGGTGTTTGTTTGTTTGTTTGGTCAAGTTTTCTATTACTTGCAGCCGAAAGCACTCCTAATTAATACTAGTGCTCACCTCCCGCATCCTCTTCTCATTGAAGTCCTCCTTTGATCCAGCTCCTATTACACGTTGCACATACTCCTGTCCCAGCACTTGGCATACTCATTGTATTATATTTTTTCCTTGTCTCTCTCCCCAGCTATGTTGTTATTTTTATTGCTGTTAGTTGCTGTAGAGCTGATTACAACTCACGGTAACCCCTGTATGCAGAGAGAACTGTGCTTTCTAGGGTTTTCAAGGCTGTGACTTTTCGGAAGCAGATGACCAGGCTTGTCTCCCAAGGCACCTCTGGGTGGGTTCGAACTGCCATCTTTTAGACTAGTAGTTGAGCGCTTAACCATTTGCGCCACCCGGGGATTGTGGCTATACTGTCAATATACTGTGACCTTTTTGAGGAAAGAGATTGAGTCTTCTCACCTTTAATCTTTAGTTCCCAGCCCAGCCCCTGGCATACAGCTACAGCAGGTATCAATCAGTAAGTGGACTTGTAGAATATATGCCTATGTCCTAGCCTCATGTTTTAAGCTTACACTTACATTATTACAAGCTGCCTCCACTCCTTATGTGAAAGAGGCAAAGAAAGTAGATTGATTTTCAAAACAATAACTTTATGCAAATTACCGAAATATTGCAGAGGAACAAAAATGCTGCAATGTTCTTTAGGACTCTTCTCTTGGTGTTGCACTGCAAGAAACGGGGGCAGTGGGCTGGACCTGGGGCCCCTTCCCAGCTGCTCTCCTCTTCCTCCTTGCCATGGCCTTCTCTCAGACACATATTTCCATTGACCGCATGTGGCATCTCCCCATCTTGGGGAGCCACCTCCTCGGCCACACCTCCACTCTTGAGGCAGGAAGAAGGGAGGGAGGTGGTGTTGCCATTGCAGACAGTGACCACCCGAAGGGTCCTGATGTCCTCAGAGAGCTTCTCGGGCTCCCGGTGAATGGACTCAATGATGAAGAGATTCTGGATGTATTTCTCCACAATCACCAGGATGGAGTAGGGCAAGTTGTACCAGGTGTACGGGGGGCAGGCCTTCGCACAGAGTATGGCCAAGATTGAGCCCCAGGAAATGAGCCAGGAGCCGGAAGCCGTGCCCACCAAGAGGTCTGCATCCAGTTTGCGGGCTGGGTTTTTGGACTCATCTAGTGATTTCTCGTTAGTTCTGTAGATCCAGATGCCAACCAGCCCCGCAGCCCCCATGAGCATGAGCAAGACGATGGCATACAGGTAGAACATGATGAGTGCTGACTCACTCTTGGTTTTGGACCTTCCGATGCGAATCATGTACACCACCACAACCCCAATGGTGGCGGCCAGCACGGTCAGGCCCAGGACCGAGCCCATCATGCCCCCATTAAACTTGAACTGCATCTTTGGATGCTGATGGCCGTCGACTTTGCGTCCAACGTTCTTCCACAGGACGTAGAGCATGGTAGAGGCCAGAATCTGATACTCTATGTTGAAGGGGTACAGGTAGTAGATCCCATGTGAGATGGCCGAGCAGAGAGTCGGGAGCGTGCAATTACATTCAGGTGCGTGGTCATCTAGAACTAGAGAAAGAGGCAGAGCACATGGAGGGTCGTTAGCATGCACATAGAGTGGAGAAGCACAAAGCAATGCTTTCCCTGTGGATTCACGCTTGGGTTTTCCCACTGAATGTAAAGCTTCATTTTAAGTCTTATTTCACGTGTAATATCATGGCTAAATTGACAGTCATAAATCTTCCCAAAAGAATATTAAATACATAAATCATATTTTAGCCATAGATTGGAATAGTATGTATCCATTATAAATGGTATTACAGAAATTTGCTTATTAACTTGTAACAATGATCACAAAATATTGTTGAACAACAAAAGCAGGTTGTCAAAGAGGATATAAAGTGTGACTCTGTTTTTGTAAGTTATAAACATATAGATGATAGATGGATGAATGGATGGATAGACAGACAGACAGTTAGATAGACAGAAGATTGACTGGCCTGAGGTTGCACAGGCGGGATAGAAATATAATGTTAAATCTCCACCACCCATCTTTCAGTTTGTCATACTGTGGTGGCTTGCATGTTGCTATGATGCTGGAAGCTATGCCACCAGTATTTCAAATACCAGCAGGGTCACCCATGGTGGACAGGTTTCAGCAGACTAGGAAGAAAGACCTGGTTATCTACTTCTGAAAATTAGCCAATAAAAACCTTATGGATCACAACAGAACAACATCTGGCTGCTTCCTTTGGACACGTCCTCAGGTAGGATCAGTCGCTGGAGGAGGACGTCATGTTTAGTGAAGGAGGGGACCAGCGAGGGCGAGGGAGACCCTGGGTGAGATGGATTGATACAATAGCCACAATGATGGACTTGAACATGTCAGTGATTATGAAGACGACGCATGACTGGGCAACATTTCGTTCCGTTGTACATAAAGGTCGCCATGAGTCTGAGTCAACTCAACAGCAGCTATCTAAGTTAAATCTGGAAAGAGCCTTCAAAAGTACATGGTCCAGTCCCCTTCATTTTACAAACGAGACAAGGGAGGCTCAGAGAGTTTAAATGGCTTCCAAAGATAACACAGCCAGTAAGTGACGGGAACAAGACCCCGGAGACATCTAGTTCCCAGTACTTTGCACTTTCTTTACCCCATACTCCCCTAGACCAAACGTTCTAATATAGAAATAATAGATTATAAATGCGAAAGAATTGTGGAAGAAAATATAAAGATTAGTTCTATAGGCTCTCAAATAGGAAAAAGGGAATAAAGATGGGCCAAAATTATAAGCCAAGTAGAGTTAAATAGAAAACTTAAAATGAACTAAAACCAATTAACCACAACCTACCATTAGACTTCTATGGATTTTTTTTTTTTAACTATACTTCTAGCAGGAAGAACTGGTAATAGAGCCTTAATTAAATACAAAAACAACCACCAGTCTTCTATAGTTGAAAACAAAGACGTTCATTTCTATACCAATCTGGACCATGAGAAATGGTGATGGAAATGATAACCCTTGGGTCTTACATGTCCCTGAGTCATTGAAGAAAGCTTTCATTATGCTCAGCACATCCTGCTTACAGAGGTAGGAGGAGAGACTTAGGAGGTTGTGTAAGACTTTCAACAACAGAGGATTGTCTGGCTGATATGGAGTTAGCTGGACCTTGCAATTCTTCGGCACCTGCCCCTCTATCTCTGAACATTCTGGTCTCTGCAGGTTTCCAGGACATTCCAGCATGGCAGAGGGACAACTCACCTATCGTTATGTTCCCAAAGCCCAAGGTGATGAGCCGTTCCTTGTGCTCATTCAGTTGGTGCTTTGACTCATTCAGGACGCTGTTGGCCCAGAGAAGCAAGTTGGTGAACACTGAGTGGATCACCCCAAACCTGAAAAACACAAGACCTGTACACCAATGCTTGTTGCAGCCCTTCTCACAGTAGCCAAAAGGTGGAAACAACCGAAATGACCATCAACAGATGAATGGATAAACAAAATGTGGTACATGCAATGGAATATTCCTCAGTCATAAAGAAAAATGAAGTCCTGATGCATGGATGAAACTTGAAAGCATCATGCTGAGTAAAATAAGTCCGTCACAAAAGGATAAATACGGTCTGACCTCACTTATATGAAATAGGCATATTAGCAGTGACCAGGGGTGGGAGGGAAGGGGAAAGGGGGTGTTTTTGCTTAGGTGACACTGAGTTTATGTTCATAGTGATGGAATGATTTAGATTAGAGAAGAATAGTGAGAATGGTTACATAGCATGAAGAATGTAATTAATGTCACTGACTAATACATGTAAAAATTGTTGAATTGGCAAAAAAAAAAAAACATAAAGAAAAACAAAGCCAAAACAATAAAACAAGGACTCAGCATTTGAGTAGTTCACAGGGAGGCCCTGGGAAAACTCCAAGCCTCGATGGGATAAAACAGCAACAATGCATGCGCACGCGCAGCTGTGGTTCTGGTTTAACCTGGCAGCTGAGGCTCTGGGTGAGTCTCCCTGTCTGGCTGGGGAGAGCAGTTCCATGGGACCTTCCAAAACCGCAGAGTCTTGGCATTCTGCCTTAGTTTTGAAACTGCTGGTAGCCAACCATTGTCTACAGAACATCAAAGAAACTGGGTCTTGGAAGCAGGGCTACAGGAATCAAAATTTACTGAAGCAGGCAATATCAACCCCACCATACCCTAAACCCTTTCAATATCTTCCATAGGGAAGAGGAGAGGTGAGAACAATGAGGAAGGAGGAAAGGCTACATTGGCAATCTGGAGAGTAGGACTCACCTTACTGTTGGTTGGCCAACCCAACAATCATCATCCACCCCCTCTACCTTTCTACCTACCCCTGAAGACACCAAAACAAGCTGCAGACTCACTGCCCAGGCTCCTGTGCAGCTAGCCATGGCCATTCTGGCCAACAGCATGTAAGGTGAAGTCTACTGGGCGTTACTGAAAAGCGTTTGCTGTCTTGATGAAAGGGGTAACAATGAGAGGAGCCGTTCCCATCTTTTTTCTGCCTTGAATGTAAACATGAAGGCTGGAGTTGTGGCAGGCAGCCACCTTGTGACCATGAGGCAACCAACATGGGCTGAAACCCCAACCCACTGAAGATGGCAGAGTGGAAACCTAGAAAGAGCCTGCTCTGTGACAACATTGTTGAGTGGCTAGTGTCTCAGATAGGTTCCAGAATTAGCCCATGGTCACACACAGAGTAAGTAGTTGCACTGGGATTTGAAGAGTTTGTAAGCGACAGAGCTGTTCTAGTCTGGCTCCAGAGCCTTGCTCTTGTCTCTATACCATGCTGCCTCCTAATGAAGAAGAAAGCAGAAAAGGGGACAACGTGGAAGACGGATGCTGGGTCTGAAGAACAGAGAAGAGAACTGTGGAGAATGTGGTTCCCATGGGGTCACTCCCTGCTTCCAAACCTCCAGTGTCTCCCCATGCCCACAAGTTTAAGATGGATTTGCTTCAGTAGTTTGCAGGGTATTTAACACTATGCCTTGCATGTAGCAGGTGCAGCACATACCTTTAGATTTGGGAGAGGCATTCCTTAAAACCTTGTGGGTAACTGATCATTACTAACTTGCAGAGCAGAGACCCAAAGGAAGCAGGCTCCCTCTGTTTCTAACCAAGAGAGTGCCTATCCATTACCTGCGGGCAGGCTCCTCAACTTTGACCTGCCTCTCCTCTGAATTTTAACCCCAGTTGACTCTCTGAAGAGTCCCTAGGTGGTGCACACAGTTAATGCACTCTGCTGCTAACTGAGGTTGGAGGTTCAAGTCCACCCAGAGGCAACTCGGAAGAAAGGCCTGGCAATCTGCTTCCGAAAAATCAGCCTTTGAAAACCCAATAGAGCACAGTTCTATTCTGATATACATGGGGTCACCAGGAGTTGGAGTCAACGCCAGGACAACTGGTTTACTGGTTGACCCCTCAGGGCTCCCAAGAGCAAACGCAGGCTAAACCTTTCCTCAGGGAACCCTGGCTTCCTTGGGCAGTTGCGTAATATCCAGGCACAACTGGAAAATGAAACTGAACCCTGGGGCATTTGAGTCCTGTTTGCCCTGGCTGTTTGCCTCTCGGGCTTGCCCTGTGGCTATAGAAGACAGCCAGCCCTCCCTGAGGCATCTGGAAGGTATTGTATGGAGCCTTTGACACTCATACAATGCTGTCTCCCTCAGGCCAGCTGGCTTTTCTTTTACTCATAATGCACACAGCTCCCCTTTCTACTCAACTCTGTCCTGGTGTAAATGGCTTTGTCCAAATCCAGGGCCCACTGAGCTCGGGGAGAGCCGAGGCCTCTCCCCGCAGCCGCAATCTCCCTGCAAGCACGCAGACTTGTACCAGTGTGATCAGGAAATTGTCCCACAAGCTAAGGGCATACATCATCTCCTCATGCCAAGCTGCCTTTCTCATACTTGGATCCAATAGCCCCAGGCTCCAATAAAGGCAAGGCTTGCATGAGCCTTTGTTCATCACTATGTAGATTTCCAGCTCTGCTTTCAGAAATACCGTTCCTCTGTTATGGATTGAATTGTGTCCCTCAAAAATATGTGTTGTAATTCCTAACCCCCATACTTGTGGAGGAGCCCTGGTCACACGTGGTTAAGAGCTCAGGCTGCTAACCAAAAGGTCAACAGTTCAAATCCACCAGCCGCTCCTTGGAAACTCTATGAGCAGTTCTACTCTGTCCTAAAAAGTGCGACCAGAATGGTCCTTGGAAGCAAGGATGGTGAGACTACATCTCACATACTTTGGACATGTTGTCAGGAGGGATCCCTGGAGAAGGACATCATGCTTGGTAAAGTAGAGAGTCAGCAAAAAAGAAGAAGACCTCAACAAGATGGATTGACACAGTGGCTGCAACAATGGGCTTAAGCATAACAGCAATTGTGAGGATGGTGCAGGACCTGGCAGTGTTTCATTCTGTTGTACCCAGGGTCACTATGAGTCAGAATTGACTCAACCACATGTAACAACAACACTCTGTCCTGTAGGGTCGCTATGAGTCAGAATGGACTCGACGGCAATGGGTTTTTTGCTTTATACTTGTGGAGGCACGCTGATGATGCAATGGTTAGATGCTCAGCTGCTAACCAAAAGGGCAGCAGTTCGAACCCACCAGCCACTCCACTGGAGAAAGATATGGCAGTCTGCTTCCATAAAGATTACAACCTTGGAAATCCTATGGGGGCAGTTCTATTCTGTCCCATAAGGTTACTATGAGTCACAATCGACTGGAAGGTTTGGTTTGGTTTTATACTTATGGATTTAGTTCCATTTAGAATAGGGTTTTCTTTGTTATGTTAAGAGGCCATTATCAGTGTAGGGTGTGTTTTGAGCTAATCACCTTTGAGATATAAAAAGAGCAGATTAGGCACTGAGAAGCAAGCACAGATGGGGGAAGATAGATCCATGACACACGAAGATCACCAAGGAACCCAGAAACAAAAGTAGAAAAGAGAAAGGGAACTTCCCCCAGAGCCAACAGAGAAAGAAAGACTTCCCCTGGAGCTGGTGCCCTGAATTCAGACTTGTAGCCTCCCAAGCAGTGGGAACGTAAACTTCTGTTCGTGAAGTCCCCCCACTTACAACACTTCTGTTGTAGCAGCACTAGGAAGCTAAGACTTCCTCTAAACCTCGCCTTTGGAAAAGGGAAAGGGCTCAAACCAGTAAGGGGAATTCTCAGCTCAGGAGAAAACTTCCTGAATGTACTAAATGCCTGGGATTGTGGAAGACTGGCTCAAAAGACCGGAAGAAAACAGTCCAGACCTGGCAAGCTCAGAAGCCTCCAGGAGCTGGCAGGAAATGTTAATGAATAAAGCAGTCCTGGTGGCACAGCAGTTGAGCACAAGGCTGGTAACTGAAAGTTTAGCAGTTCAAGCCCACCAGCCACTCTTCGGGAGAAAAGACCTGGCCATCTGACTCCGTAAAGATTACAACATTGGAAACCCAATAGCAAAGATCTACTCTGTCCTATAGGGTCAGTATGAGTCAGAATAGACTGGACAGCAATAAGTTTGGTTTGATTTTTTTTGGTAATCTTTACAGAAGCTGATTGTCAGGCCTTTCTTACAAGGTGCCACTGGGTGGGTTTGAACTGTGAGTCTTACAATTAGTAGTTGAGCGCAAACCATCTGCACCCCCCAGGACCTTATGCCACATGTCGATTACCGCATTCAATCCTCAGAGGTAGGCTATATTATTGTCATCATTGTACAGATGAGGAAACTGAGGGTCAAAAAGGAGAGATGTCTAAGATGGCAGAGACGAAGTTCAAACCCACATCATCCTACTTCAATAGCTGTCTTCAGGAAAGGGCCAGAGGCAGAGGGTCTCCTCTCCCACCAGGACAGATGGAAGAACCCCTCTCAGTTTGTGTAACTCAAGGCAAGATGGCACCAATGAATTTCATTGGTTGTAAGCAAATGCCAAATCCAAAGCATTCAAAAGCAATTACCCACTCTTTTTTACCTTTCAAGTGTCTTGAAAGACTGGATAATATCCTGTGCGTGCCCCCAAAGAAAATATACCTAGATGGATATAACAGAAGAAAAGAAAGATACATCAGTGGGAAACTGTCATTACCTTTGCACACTTGAGAAGCTATAAAACTTAAGGAAAAGGTGTGGGAAAATGATGGGGATAGGGGGTCACCTTCCAACCCAAGCAAGGAAGATAGTTATCCTTATCTGAGGTATCAGAGCCAATCGGCTGTGGGGGAGGGGATCTTGGAACTCTAAGAGTAGAAAGTGGAAATGGTGCAGCAACTGATTAGTGATGTCTGCTATGGGATGGGAGGGGGTATGGAGAGTGGCAGCCTGCCAGCCATAACCCATGTTTATCAGGTTTCATTCAAGAAACATCCATGGAACAGTTACTGTGTGCCAGTGACCAAAAAACAAATATTGAGGACTTTAAGTGAAGAACAGAATTGATCCAGGCTAGTCTTTTAGTTCACTGTTTTACATAGGCTACCCAAACCCCTGGATGGTGCAAACAGTTAACACACTTGGCTGCTAACCGAAAGAATGGCAGTTCAAGCTCCAGAAGCACCTCAGAAGAAAGGCCTGGCAATCTACTTCCAAAAAATCAGCCATTGAAAACCCTATGTTTTGAAGCCATAGTCAGAGGTTTGGGGGCGGGAGGGGGGGACCAAAGGGGGATACTTGCCCTGGGCGTAAGTCCAAGGGGGTGCCAAATGAGGCACAGAATAACTTTCTAAAGTACCACAAATATGAAAGGCACCTGACTGAGACAATAGGACAAGAGGAGGGAAGGTGTTTCTGCTGATGCATCGCCTCTATCAATGTCTATTAGTCTTCAAATGGGAGGGGTGGTGCACAATTTAGAGATTGCCCCTGGGTGCTCATCACTCTCACTACACCCCTGGCCATGGAGGCTGGATGAATGCCCAAAACTATTGCACTGAGATGATCTTTAAACCTTACACCAAAATATCCCCTAAAGTCTTCTTCAAACCAAACAATACTTTAGCTTAACTAGTAAAAAAAACTCTGCCTTGGGCATTATGCTCTTTACAGAACTATCTTTATGGGATCAAATTGACAAGAGCAGCTCTAAGGATTTGATAGGAGAAACTTAGGGGGCAGTGAATTTATATAACTGGGGGAGGAACAACCCAGAAAAAGAGGGTGAGAATGGTTGCACAACTCTAAGAATGTACTCAGTGTCAGTGAATGGTACGCGTAGAAACTGTTGAACTGGTGTACGTTTTGCTGTGTATATTCTCAACAACAACAACAAAATAAGTAAAATGTTAAAAAATAATAAAGAGAACCCTATGAAGCACAGTTCTACTCTGACACATATGGGATCACCAAGAGTTGGACTCAACTCAACAGCAACAGGTGTGGTGGCCGACCCAATCCCACGACCATACAGTAATCAGTAGCAATATAGGGAAGGGGTTGAGTGCATGGACACTGGTATCGTATGTGCAAATTCTGACTGCCTCACTGCCTAGCCTCCTGGCCTTGGGACTTGAGGGAACCTTTCTGTGTCTGTTTCCCCATTTGTGAAATGGGTATGAAAATGGTACTTACCTTGGAGGGTGATGTGAGAAACTAAATGAAATAATCCATGCAAATTACTTCAAATGGCACCAGGAGCTTCTTAAGGTCTCAGTCAGTGTTTGCTACTATCAACTTACTCGTTCATTGACATTGATTGAGCACCTATTGTATACCAGGCATCACTTTAATTTCTACAACCTTTTGGACCATATTTAAGACACAAACGCATAATGAGCACCTACTCCATGGCCTACACTGGTGGGTATTTCATATGTTTATCTTGTTTAATCTGCATTCTGCAGTGATGAAAAGAAGATACATAAGAAGAAAATCAGACACCATGACATAAAATATACTTTTACATATTACTTCCATATTGTTTCACCTAAGATGTACTGTCTGCTCTGGAAAACACTTCCAAGGCAGAATTTGTGACCACTGCTCATCTCTTGAAACATGCAACAATTTACAAAACAGAGACAGTAGTAATTCCTTAGGAAAGCTGACCTTCAGCCCAACCATGGGGAAATGATTTAGTAAATTATTATTTATGAATGAATTCTAAGTTAGACCGCCATCAAAGTGATGCTTTTTATAAAGACTACATGGCAACCCAAAGCAAGGTGTACAATTATTTTTTAAGCTGCAGAACTTGGGATAGAAAATTCTGCACCCTCTCTCTGAAATATTGATAAGAATGTACATACACGTAAAAACGGCTGAAACAGAAGATGTTCTGTTATTATATTTTACCACAACTTTAAAAAAATTACCCAGAAAATCAAATCCCCCCAAGCCTTCTCTGGGGGACCCTGGCCTGGCAGGCTTTCCTGACTCTTCCTTTGTTATATAACCTGCCACACAGGATTCGCACAAAGACGGCCAAGGAGACACACAGTCTCATTTCATACTGGAGGAAGCTGAGGGACCAAGCCTCAGAGATGGACTCAAGTTCACCTTGACTTGCTGGGCAACTCTGCAGCAGCTCACCCTGCCCTCCACTTGCTAGATGTCTTGATGTTACAGATTTTCACAAGTTCAAGGCAACATACCCCCTGGGATACACTAGCCTTGCAGTGACCCCATGTGTGTCAGAGTAGAACTGTGCTCCATAAGGTTTTCAACGGCTGATTTTTCGGAAGTAGATTACCAGGACTTTCTTCTGAGGTGACTCTGGGTGCATTTGAACAGCCAACCTTTTGATTATCAGTCAAGCACATTAACCATTTGCACCACCCAGGAACTCCTTAACAGGAACTAAAAAAAACCAAACTAGTTGCCGTCGAGACAATTCCGACTCGTCATGACCCCGTGTGTGTCAGAGTAGAACTGTGCTGCATAGGGTTTTCAATGGCTGTGATCTTTGGAAGATCACCAGACTTTTCTTCCAAAGCACCTCTGGGTGGATTCGAACCTCCAACCTTTTGGTTACTATCCAAGCACTCAACCATTTGTGCCACCAGGAACTCTAAGAGGAACAAGGATAACATAAAGGAACTCAGTGTAGTTTACCTGCAAGAGAGTATGTACTGTGTGGGTAACAGGGAAAACCCCTTCAGTGGCTGATAAGCATTCAGAAAATCCAATGAAGTATCCAATTTTAAGGCATCCTAGGATGATGGTAATGACTGCAAACAGTGAGATGCTACCTAAATTTGGGGGAAACACACATACACGTGTTAATATGCAATGATGTCATTTCAAAATAACTTACTAATACATTATACAACTCGCCCGAGAAACTGAAAACTGGAAGGCAGGTATTGTGTCCTGTGCATCATTGTACCCACCAACACACCTATCTCAGGGTCTGATGCAAGACACACAGTCAACAAAGACTGGGTAACTCAACAGAAGTCTTCTAGAAGCTTTTCCAGAGCAGGGTGATCTGAGAGTATCACTCTTCTACTAAAAATCTCAGTTGGCTTCCTGCTCTCTAAAGAATAAACCCCAACCCCAAGAGTATGGCCCCCAGACACCCTTTTAGCTCAGTGGTGAAGTTACTTCCGAGGTTCACTGTTCAGCCTGGGAGTGGACAGCCCAGTAAAACCAAATGAGAGTAACGAGGTACAGGAGTCCAGTGACAAGGCCCAGAAGGCAGAAGGGGAGTAGGAAGCTGATGATAGGGAACACAAAGTTGAGTAAGGATATTGTTGATGTGTTGTGAGATTGTTAACCATTGTCATAGGGCAACATTTGTAGTAACTGTTAAATGGGAGACTATTTTGTCCTGTAAGCCTTCATCTTAAGTGAGAATGACAGAACAATTAGAAGAACGTAGTCAATGTCACTTAAATGTGTATGTAAAAATTTTTGAAATGGTGTATCTTTGGCTATGTGTATTTTCACCAAAAAAAAAAAAAAGTTGAGAATTTAGAGGGTTAAAATGTTGTGGGGTTGTTAACCAATGTCATAAAACAGCATGTGTGCTCTGTTACATGAGAAACTATTTGTTCTGTAAGCCTTCACCTGAAGTACAATAAAATATTTAAAAAAAAAAAAAAAGAATAAACCCCAACTTCTACGCACACACAGTTGTTGCTGTTGTAGCTGTTGTCATGTCCACCCTGACTCATGGCAACCCCATGCACACCAGGATCAGACCATTGTGATCCATAGTGTTTTCACTGGCTGATTTTTGGAAGTAGATCGACAGGCCTTTCTTCCTAGTCTGTCTTAGTCTGGAAGTTCTGCTGAAACCTGTCCAGCATCATAGCAACACGTAAGCCTCAACTGAGAGATGGGAGATGGCTGAAGTTGAGTTGCATTGGATGGGCATGGAACTTGGGTCCCAGCCAATGCACCTCAAAAGCAGCCATCACCCAGGTTCCATTCCTGGCCAGTGGACCTCATGCACAGCCAACACTTATCTGTCACCGGAGGCTTGCGTATTGCTATGACACTGAACAGGTTTCAGCAGAGCTTCCAGACTAAGATGGACTAGGAAGAAAGGCCTGGAGATCTACTTGCAAAAGTCAACCAATAAAAACCCTATGGATCACAATGATTCAATCTCAAAACCGAACACGGAGGTGGCACAGGACCGGGTAGTGTTTCCTTCTGTTGTGCAGGGGGTTGCCATGAGTTAGGCGCTGACTCGACAGCAGCTAACAACAACAGCAGTGAAACCTGAATACAGTGTGGAGTTTAGTTAACAGAAGTGTACCAGCGTTGGTTCCTGAGTTGTCACTAATGTACCATAGCAATATAAGATGTTAATAATACGAGATACTGGGTAAGGGCATATGGCAATTGTCTGTGCTATCTCTGCAACTTTGCTGTAAATCTAAATCACAGAAAGGGCCTATGCTGCATAAAGTGAAAGAAGGTGGCATTCATATTGTACACCCAGCATGGTTTGGACCAAACCAAAACCAAACTCATTGCTGTCAGGTTGATTCCGACTCACAGCAACCCTATAGACAGAGTAGAACTGTCCCGTAGGGTTTCCAAGGCTGTCATCTTCAGAGAAGCAAACCGTCACATCTTTCTCCCACAGAGTGGCTGGTGGGTTCCAATTGGCAACCTTTAGGTTAGCAGCTGAGCACTTAACCACTGCACCACCAGGATTCCTTATGGTTTTTACCAAAACTCATTTCCATCAAGTTGATTCCAACTCATAATGACCTCATAGGACAGAGTAGAACTGCCCCCATACGGTTTCCAAGGAGCCACTGGTGGATTTGAACTGCCGACCTTCTGGTTAGCAGCCAAACTCTTAACCACTGCACTACCAGGGCTCCTTATGGTTTTTACCAGAAAGCAAAAATGAATAAGTAAAAATCATGCATGTGAAAAAATTTGGAGAAAAATACACAAAATACATTAAGAAGGAACTTGTGGCAAATTTTTAAATTAGTGAGGAAAATGCACTGCTCATAAGGACTTCATCAATGTCAAAGTCTTGAATCCCCCTCCCAGACCAACATTCACACATTCACTCCCACGGGCAGGACGAAACTGGTTTGTGTGTGACATGCATTAAGAACCATGAGTCCTAACAGTGAACTCTAACGTTACAGCTCCAGCCCAAGAAGGCTCTAGTGAAAAGTAACACGATCGCCTGGCATTTTGTTTCCATTGCTCAAAGAACTGTGGAAATCACGTGAAGTCCCATTTTTTTAAATCCTGGAAAGACCCCAGTGAAATCAGAGACTTTGTGAAGAGTGGAGATTCAGTCCCAGGGCTTTGAAATAGTTTGACAAATGTATGGTTCGTTCTGATGACAAACACAAACGGCAAGACAAGGCGAGGCAGCCTGGTCGGGGTGGTGTTGTGGATTGAATTGTGTCTCCCGAAATATGTGTTGAAATCCTGTCCTTTGTACCTGTGGATGTAATCCTGTTTGGAAATAGGTTTTTTCTTTGTTATATTAATTAGACCATACTGGAGTAGGGTGAGTTCTAAATTTAATCACTTCGAAGTTATAAAAAGAACAGATGAAACCTGTACACCAATGTTCATGGCAGCATTTGTCACAATAGCCAAAAGGTGGAAACAACCAAAATGTCCATCAACAGATGAATGGATAAACCAGATGTGGTATGTACATACAACGGAATACGACTCAGCCATAAAGAGAAACAAAGCCCTGATACAGGCTACAACATTGATGAACCTTGAAGACATCACACTGAGGGAAATAAGTCATTCGCAAAAGGATAAATACTGTATGATCTTACTTGTATGAAATAGGCAAATGCATAGAAACAGAGATTATTAGTGGTTACCAGGAGTGGGGGGCGGCGCGTGTTTGCTTAGGGGGCACTGGGTTTATATTAATAAAAACCAAAACCAAACCTATTGCTGTGAGTTGATTCCGACTCACAGAAACCCTATAGGACAGAGTAGAATTGTCCCATAGGTTTCCAAGGAGCGGCTGATGGATTCGAACTGCCGACCTTTTGGTTAGCAGCCGTAGCTCAGTATAGCTCTTAACCACAGACTCAACAGGGCTCCAGTTCATATTAATGGTGGTGGAATAATTTGGAAAAGGATAGCAAGAATGGTTGCACAACATGGAGAATGTAATCAATGTCACTGAATTATACACGTAGAAATTGTTGGACTGGTGAACATTTTGTTGTATTTTCACCACCATAAAAAAGAGAGAGAGAGCAGATTAGAAGCAGATACACATACACGTGGGGAAGACAGACGCCACGTGAGGATCGTCCACAAGCACAGGAACACCAAGGTTTGTGGACAAATACCAGAAACTAGGAAAGAGGCTCAGAGAAGGAATTGACATGGCTGAGACCGTGAACTGTGAGACAATAAATGTCTGTCTTTAAAGCCACCCCCTTGTGGCATTTCTGTTATGACAGCACTAGGAAACCAAGACAGGTGGGAAGAACACAGGCCTGGAACGAAGGGGACCTGCACAACTGGGCGGGGCACGCGCGACGGGGCGTGGCCTGGCTGTGCCCCTAATGGAATGTGTGGGTTTGGACAAGTCACTTCCCTGTTCTTAATCTCAGTTTTCCCATCTGTAAAATGGCCTGAAGCAGTGGCATCAGAATCCCCTGGAGGCCTGAGACTATGGCCCTAAGACACCCTTATGACCTCGAACTGAAGCCCCCAGAGACCACCTTTCAGCCAAACAATAGACAGGCCCATAAAATAAACAATAACACCCCGAGTTGCTTAGAACAATCAGTTATAGGAGATCAAAAGGACACTTGCCCAAAAGCAAAGATGAGAAACTCAGGAAGGGGTAGAAAAATCTGGAGGAAAGGAAACAGGGAATCTAAGGTGCAAATGGGGAGAGAGCTGACACTTGGAGGGGAATGCAACCAATGTCACGGAACAGTTTATGTACAAACTATGGAATGGGGAACAAACTTGCTCTGTTAACTTTCACTTAAAGCACAATAAAAATTAAAAAAAAAAAAAAATCCCCTGGAGGCTTGTTAAAGCAGACTGGCCTCACTCATAGAGTTTCTGGTTCAGTAGGTCGGCGGAGTGGGGGGGCCAAAAATTTGCAGTTTCTAACCAGTTCCCAGATGACGCTGATGTTGTTGGTCTGAGACCTCACTTGGAGAACCGCTGGTCTAGAACATCTCTGGAGATGACATTTCGAGGGCTCTGTGATAAACACAATGGCTCCCATAGCTCAGGGGTTAGAACACTGGTCTTAGAAACCAGGGGTTGCAAGTTCAGAATCTTGCTGGAGCCTCACAGGGAACTTTGCAGCCCTGGTGGCACAGTGGTTAAGAGCTTGGCCACTAACCTACAGGTCGGCAGTTCAAATCCACCAGCTGCTCCTTGGAAACCCAATGCGTCAGTTCTACTCTGTCCTATAGGGTTGCTAGGAGTCAGAATCGGCTCGACAGCAACAGGTTTTGGTTTTTTTGGTTTGTGAAAAATACTTCACATACCTTCTCACATTCTTGAAGTCCTTCCTTCCTTCACTCATCCATCCATCCACTTACAGATTCTTTCATCCATTTATTTATAGAACAAATATCTGGGGGACTCCTAATATGCATGAGACATTGTGCCAGGGGCTCAAAGACAAACAAGATTGCTAGAGAAACAAAAATATATACAAGCATAATGTTGCATAAGTTGGGGTGTGCACAAAATACAGAGGGATGCCCTGCACCAGGCTTCTCATCTGCAGCATGGGAAGTCAGAGGAGAGTGGA